TGCATGGCTGGTTGCTGCCAGATCATTACTCGAAAGACAAAGTCATAGATAAGATTAGATCGTTCATAAGGGTCGCAGTTAATGCTTTAAAAATTGTACATGGGAGTCACCAGCGCGGCCATTACCATGGCTCTCCGAGGGGTGTCACGACGATTCCCTGGGGCTCTCTCCAGCCCGAGGCTTTTGGGATGGGGTGGTGCATTTGCCGTTGGATTGACAGCAGTCACCTGCAGTTGGAGATCGATAGCAGGAGATATCCGAGTGGTGACTGCACTGCGAAGCCGGACCTTTGTTAGGTCTAATCTCTTCTCATTCCCAACCTCAAAAATGTCTATCACTCCTCCCCAACCTGCTCCGCTTTGGAATCACACCCCAGAGGATGTTACCCGACTCAATAACGAGTACATCGCCGCAAATCGTGCTACCCAAGACAAAGTTGGTGCTCTAGCTCCCAAGGACTGCAACTTTACTTCGGTTTGAGAATTCAAGTCTTCCCAATGTAGCCAATACTCAACTAAACACATACAGGTCTTCGTATGTTTATTTGACATTGAATCCATTGACGTGTCATGACAGAATGATAACAGCTTGCTCTTGCTGATGCGGACGCGTGCTTTGACGCTGGCACGGAACCACTGGCATTCTACCAGAATGTTTCCACAGATAAAGCGCTACGAGACGCCTCGAACGAGGCAGAATCGGTTGTCCGCAACTTCAGTGTAGAATCCTCCATGCGCATTGATGTCTACCAAGCCAAGGTTGCGGCACAAAAGAATCTGAAGGACTCTGGGGATTGGGACAAACTCTCTCCTGAGGAGCAGCGCTTGGTGGATAAGATGGTGCGTTCTGCCTTTGACCCAGATGTCCACCGCGATGGCGAGTAACTATTCATTTAGATCCTGGACGGAACCCGGGCTGGTCTTGCACTTCCCGAGAAGGAAAGAAATGAACTCACTTCCCTTAAGAAGGAGCTCTCCCAGGCTTGTCTTGATTTCGGCGTACGTCGTCGTTTACTCTGTTACAGCGTCCTTGAACTTACTTCGACTTGAAGAAAAACTTCAATGAGGAAGATGTGAGACACATTTCTTTTTGTACCCCCTTGAATGCGATAATTTAACTCCTTCTAGGGAAAAATTACATTCACCGAGGAGGAGCTCAAAGGCGTACCGAAGGATGTCATCTCTGGTTACACAAAGCGCACCGAGAATGGCCAGGAGGTTTACGATGTGACCTATAAGACTCCCGATATCTTCCCCGTCGTAAGCTATGTTTCGATTCTACTTGATAGAACAAATCTCAACGGACCACATTAGTTCAAATTTGCAGAGAACCCGGAAACGCGTCGAAGGGCGCAGGAAGGCCATGAATCTCGCCTAGAAATCAACGTCCCCATTCTCAGCAAAGCTCTTGACCTTCGTCGCCAAATTGCTAAAATCCTGGGTTACCAGACATGGTGAGGCCGATAACCCATCGTGTCAACCAGTAACGTGACATCTGTTTATAGGGCAGACTATGTTACGGAAGAGAAGATGATCAAGTCCGGCAAGGGAGTAGATGAGGCAAGTTCAACCGACTCCATGATTAAGGGCAATATTAATGCCTTTCCAGTTCCTCAACGATCTCGAAACCAAACTACGACCAGTCGGCATCAAAGAACGTGAGATTCTCCTTGCCCTGAAGAAGAAAGAGCATGCGGAGAAAGACCTCCCTTTCGATGGCGAATTCTACATCTGGGACTACCGCTACTATGACCGCAAATACATCGAAGAATCATTAAGCCTGGATGACTCCCTTGTTAAAGAATACTTCCCTGTTTCAGTCGTCGTTCCAGCCATTCTCGATATCTACCAAAATCTCCTAGGTGTGCACTTTGAGGAGATCAAGGGAACAACATGGCATCCTGGTTTGTTTGATCTCATCGTGAACTGCGCGCGTCGTATTTATGACTTTCAGAGGTACAGCAGTTTGCCGTCTGGGAGAAAGACGCCAAGGACGAGTCTGGCTTTGTCGGATATTGTTATCTAGATCTATTCCCGCGTGGTACGTATAGCTTTTCATCCTATCGTAGCCCACTGTGGTTTTATTAATTACACTGCCAGCCGCGAAATACTCTCATGCTGCTGTCTGGCCTCTGCTTCCGGGCTACGATCTTCCAGGTGGCAAACGTCACTACCCTCTTGCCGCAATGGTTGCCAACCTTGCCAAACCCACACCCGACAAGCCTGCGTTGATGAGACACGACGATGTTGTGACCTTCTTCCATGAAATGGGTCATGTCTTCCATGGCCTCCTGAGCAAGACCAAATTCGCCCGCTTCCATGGCACGAGGTGCATTTATTTGGCTACTCATCAGTGAAACAAACTTGACGCCTTTCTGACTTATAGCGTGGCCCGCGACTTCGTCGAGGCGCCTTCCCAGATGCTCGAAAATTGGTGTGCATTCTTCTCGAACTCTCGTAGGCTTGTGTCATTCAACTAGGACCACTCAGGTGTTGGGAACCCAAAGTCCTGGAGCAGATGTCGAGCCACTACGAGACGAAGAAGCCACTCTCACCTGAGCTTATCGAGAAGATCATTAAGAGGTTTGTGATACCTTCTATTATATATTCCTTTTTGCTCAACCAAAGTTCAGCCGCTACGTCAACGTCGGCTTGTTTTACCTTCGCCAACTCTTCTTCGCCAAGTTTGATCTCAAAGTGCACACTGACAAAGGTATAGATGAAGTGGTGCCTTGAACTACATTTACTGATTCCCTGGTTTCCAGAGGGTGAAGATTACACGTCGCTTTGGAACACACTCCGGGAGAGGGTCTCTTTGGTGAAAGGAATCAAAGAGTGCCCTGGTCAAGGTATAGTTCGTTTGGACAATTTTGTGATCAATCTGACATCCTCACAGGTACCTTTGGACATATCACTGGAGGCTACGATGCGGGATATTATGGGTATACTTTATCGCATCACTTTCCCAAGCATTATAGCTGATAGAAAAATAGTTACACTTACTCCCTCGTCTTCGCGGCAGACATGTACTGTGAGTGCTGCTTTGCTCGTGTCGCAAAACATCGATTGACTTGTTTTCCCCTTTTCCAGCTACCGTCTTCAAGGCTGATCCGCTTGACCCAGCGCGTGGAAAGCAGTACAGGGATAAGATCCTCCGTGCTGGAGGTAGTCGTGAGGAGCTAGAGTCCTTGGAGGTATATCTTTTCTTCCATTTCGTCGATTCATCATCATTAATGAAATGTACAGGACTTCCTTGGGCGGCCCCCCAATAGTGACGCATTCTTGAAGGAACTCTTCGGCACTTTGCCTGCCGCCGCAAACCTTTGAAAAAAAAACAATATATATATATATACCAATATCCTACATGTACTACGGCATTCACAAACTGCCTCACTCTTGTTACCTATCAAGGTTTTCTATAACCATATTTAATTTCGCCTTCCAAGCTTGTGAAGTGAAATTTGATGCGGTTCTAGACACTCCACTCACATGGTTTCCCTCATCGCATGGTGCGCCACACTAACACAATGCATTGGTTTACCTCAAGTTAGTTACTATTCAATCCCGTCAGGGCACAGAGCCAATTGAGGTTCCGTCCAGCAGTGGGTCTCACAACGTTTCAACAGGGAGCTTCTTATTGGTTCGTCAAAGAAAGTTCCGCATAGCGTTTGTGTGCTATAAATAACGATCAATATTCGCCTTTTTGAACATCGGACTCTTTCCTCTTCCTCTCACTTTCTAGCACTCGTCTCTCATGTCCCATTCCTTCGCACCACCGATATGAAACGGAGCTATATAGCTGAAGAACACCACCACGCAATATGCGCGAAAGGCTTATCGGCGAGTACAATCCCAGTCACAGTTCGAACAGTGCACAACCACAAAGCATTCCGGCGGCTGGTGTTCGCACGGGTGTGGAAGATCGTCTCGAAAGGGGCGTGACGGGGAGCAGAGCTTCGCGCTTACTCTAGTGCTGCTATGGAGGGGTGTTTCCCCTCGCTATCATTAGTATTGCCAACCGGGCTGTGATTCTGTGAAGAGTCAAACCTTAACTGGCGACATGCATAGCCTGCGGTGCATTAGCTGGCCTACGGGATGGGGCGAGGGAGCACGGACACGGGTGTACTGTTCGTCCTAGGCTGGGCTCTTGTATATCATCGATAGGCGGCTGCGTGGGTGGCTGACATCGACGTGGCGCCTGGCAGGCGGGCCTCCCCTTCTTGATGCTCACAATATACTTTTTCCCTCTTTGGCGCTTCTGATTCCCCCCCCCCCCCCCACAGATTCGATTATTGGACTCGAATTGTCTTCCTATCCCCGACGCAATTTAGGCGAAGGCGAGTTGAACTTCGAGGCGTTTTCTGAGCATTTATTGATTTTCAGATTTTATCTCTTTATAGATTCGATTATTGAACTTGAAGGGGGTTTCTACTTAATATGCATATTGGTACAAGGCGAGTAGAGCATCGACGCGTCTTACAGGCGCTATTATAACTTTAGGCTTGGGCAACTTCATTTTTGGGTATAATCCTTACTCGATCATCGAAGAGGTACGCTCACAAACTTCTAAATTATGGTTCTAGAATAATATGAAATTCAGGGTGAATAGTGGGAGATATAGCCTGCGCCACATAGTGTATCTAATTTCAACATAGAAGGTCTTTGTTGGCTATTACTTAGTGCTCGATATAGAGGGGCCGGTCATCGGTCTAGCTATTACTTACTAGCGCTATACGACAGACATCTTGCTCTTGTATTTTCCATGATACCTACCGGCTCCAGCGCTCGCCACCTGACAACTGCCATTCGCCAGCCAATTTTTAAAATAATTTTATTAATAATTTCTTGGAAAAAAGCATCCACATCTAATCGCGCATGTGTGTAGCACATCTATTAATATTGGCTGATAGTACATACCCCTCACAACGATTTTAAAAACAGTAGTTCAGCAAAGATGTAACGGATTGTGCGATGGGGAAGCTGTGATCGATAGTAATAAAATGACCAACGCAGGGGTCGAACCTGCAATCTCCTGATCATCCTGTCGTAGTCAGACGCGATGCCATTTCGCCAGGCGGCCATACATGAACACATGAATGACAATAATTGTCCGTTATCACGCATCAACCTACGGTACCAAGCCTCATGGCCGCGTTGTTAATTATTGAAGAAGTTCTCACCCCGGATTTTTGCCCGCTGTGTTATGCGCATGAACCTCAGCTTTCGAAGTTCATCCTTTGGTGTATTATTATATGCGTATTCATTGCAGTCATATATACTAGTCATACTCCAACGCTTTCTGGGTAACACTTTCAGGCCATCAGTAAAGATGAAGAGCATATCCTCATAAGACTTGCTCCTTATTTAAATTTGGGTGTCTTGGGCGTCCTTGCACCAATCGATAACTAGCCTCTCCGACACGGTGAAACCAAATGAGATTACTGTAGGCGTGCACCATAAATTTGGCCTCAGGAAGGTTGTTCAGATGCATATGGCCAACTCAAGAGAGGGGAAATCCAGCAGCCAAAACATAAGCAGAGGCTGAATATGGTACGAAAGTAATTGCAGTGCATACCAGCAGCTGGATAGAGATAAAAATAAACAGAGTCACATCGCCTCCAGGCTTCAGTCAGCCATACTATTCTGCACCTCTTCCTTCCAAAGATCCGCGAACTCCTCGATATCCCGTCCACTGCTTAGATTCAAAGCCTCAAAAGGCACCATGTTATGCTGATATGCAGGAGCATTAGATGTCGCTGCTGGATGCGACCGAGAGTCGATAACACGGAATTCCGGAAGTTTGGAGGAAGATGTGCCATTACCACTGAGCATGGGTGTTTGGGAGGAAATTTCAGAGTGGAGGCGTGTTTTCGTTACTTCAGCGAGTTCCTCATAAGTGAATAAGAGTGGATCAGTCCGGGGCGAGTAGGGGTTGAAGTCTAGGATATGTCCGCGTGAGAGGTCGCGCGTCAGTAGAAAGTCGAATATATCTGAACAAAAATCTGCCGTGTGAATAAAGGGTTCAATAAGAGTTTTGTCAAGATGCGACATACAGTCTGGAATCGCCTGCCAGTATTTCGATTCCCTAATTTTCTTCTCCCAATATTCTTGGACAGCAGAGGCGATCAATTTGCGTGTCGCAGCCTCGTTGAGAAATTCGTAATAATTATTGTCGCGTTGGCAGATACCTGCAATCTCATCTTAAAATAGATCATAAGGGAGGAGTAATACGATACACACCTACGAGGACATTCCGACGCACGAAGCAACGCAGCTCCCGGCTCCTGTCCACAGGATACCACTTCCGTAGCACCAACTCAAGGCTATACGGCAGTGCAGGTATATCCTCACATCCTTCAAAGACAGTGTGTGGGCTCAGATCATGAACGATGAAATCGGACGATTTGAGCAACATGTAGACGTCCGATGGGGAAGTGCATTTGAGCGGAGAAGATGCTGGGAGAATCCACGACGCGTCCTAAGACGCTGTTAATGATAATTCAAAAGAAACCCAGATAAAAAATACTTTTGGAGATGAGAAGTTCAGCTTGGGAAAGACGGCTCCGTACTGCTGAATGCATGCACGAATGTTGGTGTCCAACTCAGGAAACGCTAAAGAAGGCCGATCGTGGTCGGTATCATCGTTTTCATCGTCAGAGAGTGTAGTCTGAGCAGGCCTAGAGATCGAATGTTCCTATGAAGTGATGTATACGAGATGATTGACTAACGTGTCTTCCGAGCCCTCTGGGACGAACACTCCATCAGCGTCGAGATAGTCCCGGAACTCTTGGGATAGAGGTCGGATTACGGTGGATTTTATGCTAAGATCCGCGAAAGAGGGGTACCAAGAAGAGAACTGAAAGGTGAGAATATAAGATGATGTTTGGGTTGGAAACAGAGAGAACGTCTGTGACGAATGCATATTTGACCGCTATCAACTGATCGGGCGAAAAGGACGTCGAAATCCATGGAACAAATAGGATGCTCAGCAATAATTGAAAAAAAAAAAATGCAATATGTCCAAGTCCACGGACGGGTCTACCATAGTACAGACAATATATGTAATAAATCCTAGTAGCTCTCGAATTAGTGAGCAACCTTGTGATTTCCAGCCGCGTACTCCTTGGCCCACCACTTGATGTGAAAATTAGCAAACGGATATCAGGGGTTGAGTAATAAGCACCAACATCGACCATAAGTTTTACACCCTCTTCTACTCCGACTATGGGCTCATATCCCAGTACCCGACGTGCCTTCTCGATGTTGTACCAGCGGTTGACGCAGCTGTACGATACTTTAAACCTTGTGAACGTCGGCTCCTTGCCCATCGCCCAAGCTGCCCACTCTGAGCCTGTCGCCGCCATCAACCCCACCGATTTCGAGAGTTTAATGAGGTTCCGCGGTTTCCTGTGGCCGGGGAAGACGGCATCAAGTTGGTGCCAAACCGCTCTAGGGAAGTCCCAGAAGTAACATGGCTCGCCGTTCGTGACGAAGAACGCTTGGCCAGCGACCTGAAGCGGTGAGATTTCGGGGTTGTGAATTTTGGCACGTAGTAAGGCGTGGTCAGAGAGAGGGTCATAGCGTGTGCGCATAACAGGACGCTCGGAGGTAGGATTGGGATTATTAAACGCTGCGAGAATTTTTTCGCCATTGGTCGGAGGGGTAACATAAGGTCCCAGTGGACGCGCTTTGCATGTCGGGACGCGACTATTACCGGTGGTGACAGAAATGGGCGGTAGAGGTATGCTTATTAGGTTCATCTCTTCTGCAGATAGCGAAACTTCGTCAACTGAGAGAGGGAGTTTTTCCAATGTAGCGAGCGCAGGAGCAGGTGGTGTGGTCTCCAGCTTATCTGCTGCAAGAATGTGAGCACGAGCCACATTTCCAACATAGGTCCAGTCGAACAGGTTGGTATTGTCGCCGATTTGGAAATGGGTCTGGTTATTTTCATATACCTTGTACAGGCCAGCCATGACTTGACGATCACCGGGACTGAGATATATGAGCCTCCAAGTGCGGTGCACAAAAAATTATTGCACACACCCAAAAATGCCAGCTGGTCGAATTGCGACGGTTAAAAGTCCCCCTTTTCCATTAGCCTCTAGAACAATAGCCTCTGCTTTGGCTTTCGAGTCATTGTAGGAATCCAGAGGGACTTCTGGCGGAGGTAACCGCTCGTCAATGTCGATGAGGTCTCCACCGTCGAATACGACTCCAGCAGAGCTCGTGTAAACGAGTTTACGGACTCTAGTTGCCACAGCTGCGGCAATGATCGCCTTGGTACCGTCGACATTTACTTTAAAGAATACGGTTGGGTTATTGATAGTCGCCGGCGGTGAGGCAGTGTGAATTATGCATGTAGTACCACTCTACAAGACTGGTCAGTGGTATAGAAATAGCGGTTACGGACAACAGACTTTTCTCAAGGCTTCCGCGACCTGCCCCTCATCTGTAATGTCCGCAGAGTAGAATGGAACATCATGATACCGTTGGACAATATCTAGTGAAGCCACGGTGTCGCCTCGATCCAGTAGTTGCTGGACAATGTGTCGGCCAACGAATCCGCTGCCTCCAATTACGAGGTAAACTTCCTTAGTTGGGGTCATGACGACTGGGAAATGGAGGGATCTTCGGTCTGCGGATGGGAGTGGCAAGAGCCTATCGAACGACTTATTTTCCAAAGGTCCCTAGGACACGACGCGACCCACGTGACCTTCCTTTTCAGCGCGTCGCCTTCTACTGAACCAACCACCGCAGCCGCCGCAACACGTCGATGGAACACCTCAAGGCAAACAGGAAATATACCTATGAAGAAAAGCAGCATCTTCTAGCTAACCTCGATATCGAAGGTACGCCCCTCTCTAATCGTTTTCCTCATTTTTTGTCTCATCAGATTTCGCAGTTGCACATCGCATCCGACAGTTCGAATCATGGCTTACAGATCGACTCGAGAATTTCAACATGCACCAGGAAGGCCAAGTGTTGCGCATACCCAAACAAGTCCGAAATATGTCGATGCGGGAGTTTGGAGACAAGTACAACGGCAACATACAGGCTGCACTACGAGGGGTTCAGAGGGAGAGGCTTGTGGCAGCGGGTGGTGAAGGGGTCCTTGGAGAGCTCGACAAGGATGCCAGAAAGAGGAAATGGGTTGCAAGTCAGGAGCCTACTACAGAAGGAAAGGATCTAGAACCCAAAGCTCCCAAGAATGGTCAGAGCATTAGCAACGCTTTGCTTTCAACTATCTCTAATATTATATGCCGCAGCACGTCTCACAAACTTGGCCACTCCTAAAAAGGCAGGGTCCTCTACCGGACCTGGGACCGCCCAGCGAGCACGGCTGATGGCAAACGGAAACAAGACGCCCGGCGCAGTGCGTGTCGAATACAACTATGTTACTTTCATATGTCTAACCTTTCCCTAGCTGCGTACGATGGGACGCGTCCCTCCATCTCCCAGTCCCCATAAGTCTCGTCCTCCGTTTGGCAGCAACATTGGTTCTTCATTTCATTCACGTCAGCCCTCACGGCCTACCTCGCCAGCCAAACCTTCCACAGCTCCTCGCTCCCGGGTACCCTCTAGTTCAACATTCAACCCACAACTCCCACCCAAGACACCTAGATATCCTAGTGGTGGACCGCCCGCGACTGCGATGCGGTTACCCCGGCGAGACGAGAGTATGCTCAGTGTAAACGGTTCGCCTCTTGCTAACCCATACCAATTTGGCATGGGTTGGTTCAAAGGCATAGAGATGGCTGAAGAGGAGGACGAAGATGGACACGACCCCGATTCCAGCTCCAATTCAGAACCGCGGAAACTCGAGCGCACTAAGAGCAGCATTATGATTCGGAGGGATCCTTCCGTTGCTTTCCCACAGCGTCTCGACAACGGCAGCCTACATTCCCGCACAAATTCTCAGGCGAGCACTTTGACGGTGCCCTCGCAGCCTTCGTCCTCTGCGCACTCCCGTGAACCCTCTTTGCAACCGCCACATCCACATCCCCATTCCCAACCGAACCCCTTAGCGCATCCCATTTATCCATCTTCGTTATTCCCCACGTCCCACTCGCAACCCAACCT